GAGAGCAATTGAGGAATCAGACAAGGTGAGGCCAACACCAGATATCAGAACTGGAGACATTGTTGAGATCAAACTGGTAATTTGGATGCTTTTATGTTAGCTGCTTTGGTTCTTTGTTTTTGCCATTTAGTTGCAATAGTTATGGAAAGATTGTTATTTGATATGTAGGAAGTTCCAGAGACTAGGAGAAGGTTGTCGGTGTACAAGGGAATAGTGATTTCTAAGCAAAATGCTGGCATTCACACAACAATTCGTATCAGGAGGATCATTGCTGGGGTTGGAGTTGAGATAGTATTCCCAATGTAAGTATGGTTTTAACAACATAATTCTCTCCTTCCCTTGAATTAGATTTTTGGAGTCGCATATGAGAAAGCATTTATCTTTCATATTTGGACCCCTTTTCTTCGGTTTATATTTAACTCTTAACTGATTTGACATATGTGATTGTGTGAATTGACCTAATGTATGTAATATGAGTTAACAGCCACTTCAGAATGTCTTCATTCTTAATCATTGAAGAAGTTATTTAATTTAACCATTTATGTAGATACAATTGTTAGAAGCTCAAATTCGCCTATCAATTTTTCATGTTTATTCCATGGTTAGTCATCCAAAAGATTGTTTCATGCAGGAAGAGGTAGTTATGGGTTGCTTTTGCCTCTTTTACTTACCATTTTTACCTTCCTCCCCCACCCCCCCCGCGGGGGGTGCTGCATGGTCTGTTTGGAGTATACGAAACATATTAAGTATCTGGGGAAAAATTTATCAAACATTTCAATGACATAGAGACTTTCTTTGCTTTGGAAATTGGTGACACTTTTGCTCACTTTGTATGGCTTTGTTTTCCTGAATTTTCATGAATAAGTCTTCTGACACATTTACTTAACTCTGAACTTTGATGCTTTTATGTTTATAAAATTGATGCTGTTTATCCTGAAGATTTGAATCATGTTAACCACTGTATTTCTATATTGTACAAGTCTCTGTAAATTTGTGTAAACTTGTATCAGAGAGGGAGGAAATAGACAGGGAGACATTTGCACAAGGTTTTGTGCCTTATTTAGAGAAGGGTGGCAAGGGGGGCATGGAACTGTTCATTGCTTAACCTAACATTTCTGTTGATCTTAATCCGTTCTTCTTTGGGAGTTCGTTTTATTTCTTCTCTGTGACATTTTATGCAAATAAGCTTATTACTTTGCAGCAGAACATTCAACTCCATTTTAACCTAGCTGCATTTTTCTGAACTTCATTGTCATGGTGGTTCACTTCCTGCATGTTACATTTACACAAGGTTTTTGCAACTTATTTTAGAGAAGGGTGGGAAGGAGGGCATGGCAACCTTGGTTCCTTAACCTGAGTCTTATGGTGATCTTAAATATTTTTTTCTTCAGAAAGTTTGTTTCATGTCTTCTCAACCACAAAACAAGCCTATTGTTTACATGTCTCTACTCAATTTTAAATTTATTTTGTTTTTTCCACATGGGATATGATGTTATAGGAACCTATCACACACTTCCGGAATCATATATTCATAGGAAAGTCATCCAAAAATAACTGAAGTTCATGTCTTGCGCATCAAATTCATTTGATTGGTTTCATGCTTTTTGCTGAGGTTCTTTTATTCGTTTTTTTTTTTTGGGACTCTAAACTTGGGACAGTTTTTGAGGTCTCATCATTGATTTCATTTGTCATTTCTTATATCTTTTTTTTTTTTGAGATTCCATTTGTTTTGGTTTTTGGTCCTGCCAGCTAATGAGAATCCTTCGTCTTGTTTGTCGACAAGTGGTAGTCATTTATCAACTGTTGATACGAATAGGATAATGAACAAGTTTCAATGGTTTCAACCTAGGAGTGTGGTTTTATTTTTACTTGGCATGTTTCGAAGGCTATTGGATTCTTTTGGTGTAAATTTTACTTTTTTTTTTGGGGTCCTTGTGTAAACTTTTACTTTAATCATGAAAAAGGACAAACTCAATCCAGACAATGCATTCTCATTCAGATGAGAATGTATACATAACAATATATCAAATGTAGCTGGCCTTCTTGGTATTATAGTTATCGAAATAAGATCAGTCTGTCTGGATTAGCTTAATAACATTCTTTGACAGAGACCTTGTTTTTCTTAATCCGTACTTCCGTCAGATGATTTTTTTAATGAGTATAATCAGATGCTCTAGTGAAATGGATTTCACTACATTTTGTGATGTCTGAACCTCATTGATGATCTCAAGTAGTCACAAGAATATTTAGTTTTGACAAGAGAGAGATATCAGTGGTGTTTATAGAATTCAGCCACTAAGTTTTTGAGGGTTGCATGAGAAGAATTTCTTGTCTTCATTTAGCATACAACAGACAAAGACATGTACACATATTACATTTGTTTTGCATCCAATCTGATGAATGCAACTCAACCGACATGTTTCCAGCGGCTAGCAGATATTCAAGAAGCAAAATTTGATGTGATTCTTTCTTTCTCCCCCTGTGATTACAGATATTCACCCAACATCAAGGAAATCAGGGTAGTTAGCCACCGGAAAGTCAGGAGAGCAAGGTTGTATTATTTGAGAGACAAGCTTCCTCGTCTCTCCACCTTCAAATGACATCACGAAAGCAGCTTTTTTTTTTTTGGTGGAATTCTTAAAAGTTACATGTAATTTCCCGTTTCACAAATCATTAATACTACTGTCTTCTTGAGGTTATACTAAAATCTGTTCTTGGAGTTTCATCCTGCAAAACCTGACTACAGGTATCAAGCTTCTGTCATGGTCTGTGCTAGTGTTGGTCGAAATAGACCTTTAAGTAATGTTCACAACGCACTGGAGGAAAACTACCTTTGCTTCGGGGCATCATTTTTGCCTGGCAGAGTTGTAGAGATAGCAAAAGCTGCTGAAGTTTGTGTGACTAGATGATCATTCAAGTACTGATCGAACAATATAGCCTAATAGCTTATGGTGATTGGATTATAAGTCATGTAGCATCATGATAGGTGCTACAGCCACCAAATACTTCTTTCTGAAGTGAAATGAGCCACAATATGGCGGCTAGCAATCCTACTCTACTTGTGTGACAACTAATAGAAAGCTGCATCAGGTACCTGCAGATTCTAATTGATCTGCTGAACAGCTTTAGCCATAAACATTGCAGAGTATAATTTAATTTCTTCTGTGGCCTGCAAATCATTTTCGTATTTATGGTGCTTGCCCCTCTTCCAGTTTAGAAGAACCCATTAATTAGATTAGATTGGTAACATTATTTTGATTCAATCCATCATACCTTCATGAGGACCTCTATTGATTCATTTAGCTACGCAAGGAAGATTTAAGAGCCTAAAATAACAGTCCTTAAACTGGTTTTTTAGTCCACATCAGGTTCCACGTGGTCGTCCCATTTCATTTTCTGGTGCTTGCACAACCTCGGAGAATGTTTATCTACACTTTCTTGCAGGACATTTAGAAAAGAAAGTAGTATAACATAAGCCAAAAAGAACAGGAGGATAAAATAGCTATGGTGAGTGGAGGACGGAAAAGAGGATCCCATTGCAGTGGAATGTTTATCATTGTGTGTCGTTTGTACTTGTAATTTATAACATTTGATTAGTATCCTTTGTCGTGCAAAAAGTAGACAAACACCACCTATGAACTTAGCTTTCATGGTACATTGATTACAAGAAGCCGCAGCTCATGGGGAATTTGGCATTTGCGTTTATTAATAGCCAACCAATCTGGTTGGTATGTTGACAGGTCCCATCTCATCTCTGTCAAAATCTTGACGATGGCATAGTATGTAGTTAGTTAGTTATGTGCCACATACGACCTTCAGCATTTCACATATAAAAAAAAATTCGGGAAACAAACCTTAGTGGGGAAAAAAAAAAAAGAGTCTAATGAGTATTTAATAAGCACCCGTTAAGATAAGATGTAGTTCATGTATTAAATTTTTTTTAAAAAAAAGTAATGTTAATTAGGAAAGATGTATATGTCAGTGAAAATAATAATTATTAATATGTGTATTTTTGTAATAGGGTGCTCGTTAAAATTTTTTAAAAAAAAAATTAAGAAAATTCTACATGATTATGTAATTAAAGTGCATTGATTGGTGCAAGAGAGGGTCACCAACCATAACACAACTAATTTTGGTAACTAGTGTTAAAAGGCATCAATAAATTCACAGCATGCCACCCCCTTGGTGGTTGAATCTAACTTCTCTATTTTGTAATTTAAGCTATATCATGTAATCATAATCCTAACTTGACATGATTTGGACTAACTATAAGGGGAAATTAAATTTTTAATTCTTATTCAAGACACTAAGGTAAATTGGAAGCAAGAAATTTATTTGCACAAACAATTTATTATGATTGAATATTAACGTCTATTCTCTCTAACTCTTCAACTTTATATCTCCCAAATAAAAAAAAAAATAGCACTTAAAAGTCTCATTCAATGAGAATCAAAAAGGTACCTGTCATGCAAAGCACTAAAAGTATTTAATTTGCCTTCTAGAGGCTCTGCCAACAGCCAAAGCCCCTTTTTATTTTACTTTAATTAAATGGAGCATAAGAATTTATTAACACTAAAAGGAAAGAAACCTTCATTAATTAATATTCTTAAACCAGAAATAAACATCTGGTGAGCTAATTAGTAAGTTGTAGTAATAATTTTTAGAATTTCTATGCCTAATCAATTGCGTAATTAATCAGTGATCAACACGCATGAGCATGATGAGGTGGACAATGGACATCAATCGTGCGAATTAATTGTACTAAGTAACCTGGAAAATCAAATCCAAGCCGGATTAGTCACCTAACAATCACAAATCACAAAATTTCTTCCGTAACCCAAAGGCACACGTAAGCCACCTCCTACAAAACTCCCGGCCAGCTCCACTGACACATCATCTGGGCCCACACCAGTCCCCCTCCTCTTTGATTTCCGGGCCAACCCGTCACAGTTCCCAATCATCCGCCACGTGTCTTCCTAGTACGGATACGTATAAGAATACATGGTAGTATTAGGCATCAGCAAGAAAGAGTAGAAGTTGGGGAATTCGGACCAGAAAAAGCGACAAATGAGGATGAACAATTGAGTTCCGAAATATTTGCTCTCTGAGGATTCAATTCTCTGATCCTAAATATTTGCTAAGACGAAGGTAATTTGCTTTCCCGTTTCTCCCTGCTCTTATTCGTTGCTCTGTTTTCTCTTTCCGCTTCTCGAGAGATTTTATTGCTTCATTTCCTTCTTGTTTTTTTTTTTGGGGGTATAATTTTGATTTTGTTAACCTGGGGTTTGCTGTTTGTACTGGTAGGTTTGAATTTTGGTTTTGTTTGATTGAGCTTGGGGGTTATTGTCCAAAATCAAAGTGAAAGGTGTTGATCCGGTGTGCTCGTCTTCACTATGACTGGCGCTACCAACCAGTTGATATCCGTTCAACCTGACGAGCTCCACTTCCAATGTGATTTCCCCTTTCTTCTCTCTCTCTCTCTCTCGCGTGTTTGTCTCTTTCTTTTGTTTAGATGAATGATGATGTTGATGAATGGATATATTGCTGGAAAATTGTGTTAATGGACAAAAAATTGGAATCGAGATTGGAGAAATTTTTCTAGGGAGAAATTTTTCTAGGGAATTGGTAGGCTGTGATATGATGTAATTCACGTTTCTTGATTTTGATATTTGATGTGCTAATTTTACGATGAAAGTAATGATAAACGTTCATAATTTGCTGCTTATGAATTGGCCTTGTTTTTAGAATTTGGGATGGGTTTTTTTGTAGAGAAAGGGGAAGGAAGTTGTGAAAGGAGATGAAAATTCTTAAGGTTATAGCAATTGAGAGGTAACTGTGTAAAAGTTATTCTTTCGGCCTTTGTGGAATAGAAATTATATGGGCTAAATATCATTCGGTTGATAGTATTAGTTTCAGTCGTTCAGCTATAATTTTTAGATTACATTTTTGCTGATTGCCCTGTGTGTAGTTCGTTTACACTGTTGTGGGATATAATCGCAATTGTTGACTGGCTATATATCCTTTCTCTTGTTGTTACTAGTTTAGCTTGAGAAACTGAGATGTAAATGCGGGAAGATATAGAAATAGACTAGAAAAAACAAGTGGTGCCAGTGGTTCTATTGGCTGATAAGAAGAACCTAAAAATTATGGGAACTTGATCATGTTGCTGATGTAAATAGCTTCAGTTATCTGGCTATATTAGTACATGATTTTGGCTGAACTTCACTCCCCTGTACAATGTAATACAATTTGCTGGTACATTCTTGAAGTATTGACTGGTTTTATATTCATTCTGCGGTTGTTACTAGTTGAGTTGGAGAAACAGAGCTTCTGTGACCTCAAAGTTTCAAATACGACAGAGCATCATGTTGCTTTTAAGGTATATAAGTGACGTTATACAAACTTTTAAGTAATTGTTGTGACTGCAGTTCTATATGCTAAATTTGTGATACTCTTTTTCTTGATTTTGGTTTCCTAGGTTAAAACTACTTCTCCAAAGAAATACTTTGTTCGGCCAAATACTGGTGTTATACAACCTTGGGACTCCTGTGTCATTAGAGGTGCTAATCTCTAACTTGCAGTCTTCCATCTGGGATGAGAAAATGTTATAATCTTCTTAAGATGCTAGGATCGTACATTTGTATTACCACTCACGCATTGTTTTATTTTGTTCTGCCATCTTTTTTAATATATATCAAAAGCTTCTATTTACATAATGACCTGCACGGCTTAGTGGGCTGTTCCGCTATTTTAGACCTATATAATTTTTTAACGCTGAAATTTCTAATGCATTTGTAGTCACACTTCAAGCTCAGAGAGAGTACCCTCCAGATATGCAGAGCAAAGATAAATTCCTCCTACAAAGCACCATAGTACCTCCAAATACAGACGTTGATGAGCTTCCACCAAACACGGTAACTTTTTTTCAAATAATGACAGAAAAAGCAGTTTCAACACGATATTAGTTTGATACTGTTTCTGAACCTAAGTTACTTCTTGTTTGATAAATTCTTTTCTGGTAATGATTAATGATTCTCCATCCAGTTTAGCAAGGAATCTGGGAAAACAATAGAGGAGTGTAAGCTTAAGGTTGTTTATCTCACTCCTAACTCGGTGCCTGGAATCTCTGAAGATGGCTTCAAACAGAGTATTGATGCGAATGCAGTGAGTGCTTGTTCTATATAGTTATTTTTTAAGTTCACATGGTTTCCTTGTGTTGTGCTTCTCATTATCAGTAGTTGCATGTTGAATCATAAGTTTGTTACTTTACCATGTTACTTTAAAGGATTGGACATTTGGGTTGTGTTGTTGCTGTTTACTTCTATTTCCGACTTACTGCTGCTTTACACATTGCAGATGTGGCGCTCTGCGAGCTTTGATGATGTGAGTATAATACTCATTGCTTTTCCCCAACCCTTTTATCTCCAACCAGTTTTGTTTCTATGCTAAGAGATTGATCCTTTATCTCAAGCATAAGTGTGTTTGTCTCTGCGTGTGTGTCTCTCTCTCTCTCTCTGTAGAGAGAGAAAGATGAGAGAGATTTAGGTAGTTTATGGAATTTGAAAATGAAACTAGCCTGTTGTTCTTTGTGATGGTAAACTGAATAATAAGAGCTCTTTCATCTTATACCATTATGTCCTCGTGCATCTGGCTCTTCAGTGTGATCCCCTAAATTGTCATGGATGTGGTTCTTGAGTTTTCTCTTATATTTGGGCTTTTTATCTGTCAACATTTCCTTTTTTATTAGTATTCTATCTTTTGTTGTGTAGAATCAAGTCTTGCAGCGCCTGAAAGAAGAAAGGGATGCAGCAATGCGACAAACACAACTACTGCAACAGGAATTGGTTAGTGCACTCTGCCAACCCATTTCAATTCTACCTAACCAACAATGCATAGAGAAATACATAGCTATTAGAAATGGAAGCCATTGCATTTTAGAATTGAATCTGGTTGGATACTTCAATCACCTTTTCTTCTATGTAATTTCAATTTCAATTTCTGATGGAGAATTAGGATAATTCAGCAGATGAGTAACTGCATGGAGACTGTACATTGTGGATAAACTCTCTAGGAAAAGAAGAGAGAACCAATTTAGAGGATTAGATAACTATCATACATACACTTACCCGGAAAGCAGGGGATGAGTCATCCTAAACTAGAAAACTGCCTAGATGATTTAAGCAACCTTAACCTACCAGGTGGAGGAAGCATCGCAATTTATTGCATTTTGCCTGGCTGTTGATGAACGTCAATACTTTCAGTAGTATCTTCCAAATTTCTGTGCAGAGGATTTATCGAGCAAATCTAATAAAAGTTGCATAGTGAAATATGGTTGATGTCTGATGATCTGTTCCATGAGATTATGACTCTCAAGATTCACAAGGTTTTCAGTGTTGAAGAGTCCATGATTTTGGTTTAATCAATTGTTGTAGAGGAGGTTAGAACTGCACACGATACTGCCAATAAAACTAAAGCAGGTTTTCAGTCTGTATCTTGTAGGTTGTGGAGGCATACATGGTAATTTGTTAGCCAGTTAATAATTGTCTTTTACTTATACACGGTTGCTCAAACTCAACCTTCTGGGGTATACCGTGTGATCAACGATGTAATGGCTGTAATTGTTTATTTTTCCTGTGTCATCTGAATCTTATAGTCTGGAATTGTGGCTTGCATATGAGATTTAAGGATCAGCAGTTGTCCACTAATTCACTCAGTTTCTGCTTCTCTTGCTTGCAGGAAATGCTGAAGAAAAGAAGAAATAGGAAAGGCGACCCAGGATTTTCCATGGTGTTTGCTCTTTTTGTGGGATTGATTGGCCTCATGGTTGGCTTCCTCTTCAAGCTGTTATTTTCTTCACCTTCTGCAGAATAACTTTGCTCCATCTTATACTCTCAGGATACAGATTTTGCTCCCAGTTTCCATGTATAATTCAGATCATGGCTTTGATTGATTGGAAAGCTTGCTTAGTTTGATCTTTATTTCTGTAAATTCTTTTATTGGATATTGTTACTTGTTCAGTTCGTTTTAGGAAATATTAATCTCCTTGAGTGTGTTTGATCACACAGTTACATGCTCTCTCGATGGATTATCTTAGAGCTCGTTTGAATTGGAGTTTTGAGAGTTTTTTGTAGGAAAATACTCGAAATCCAAGAAATTATTTGTTTGTATTATAAACACATTATTCAACCATTTTTTTTTCTCATATATATCACATCAATCAAGCGGCACAATATTTTTTTCAAATAATTATCCTAAATAATCTACCATCCAAACACTAATAATAGTAGTAATTTTCCTGGAGTACTACTTCGGCTCTGCTCTGGTTGAATAGCTGTCTCCTCTGTGTTCCCCAAGCAACTCAATCTGGGCCATCGCCAATTTAATAGAAGACAATGTATATATATATTGAATCATTGCTTGATACTGACAGGTAGCAGGAAACACTCAAGAGATGGTCAATTTATCTTATTCCTTGTCTGGTTTTAATTAGACGATGGCAATTGGAGTTAACTTTGATGGTAATTTTGGGTTAATTTTAATTCAACTTCATAAAAATCCAATTTGCAGATATCTCTAAAGACTCAAATTACAAATGTCGTGATACTACAATTCTCAGGTCATTTGCACCTAAAACAACACTTTCACATTTTGTTGCCTAATAAGTTCTTGACCAACTTGAAGTAAAACATGATTGGTTCTTTAGTAGGCAAAATTATGTATTAAATGCAGGGGATGGAAAAAAAAAATAAACGAAAAGGTCCTTGTGTCAGCACAAAGGGCTTCAGGGCTCCAGAGGTAAGTTGCAAATATTGTCATTAGCTGCAGGAGGAGTTGATGATAACTTTTTGCCTAGCTTCATTTGGTCCCTTTAATACGTGGGAATTATATTTTGTGATCATGAGTGCTTAATGATGAATCTTCTGCAGGTATTGATCAGATCCTTACATCCAGTCCCTAAGATTCGTAATTGTTCCCTTGCCATCCATTAAAGTCCGAGATTTGGTGTAAACTCAACAATTGAAGACTGAATTTTCTTGAGGTCGTTGCAAGATCATTTTTTGATCTCGTGGATAAGTGCTTTACAGTGAATCCAAGGTCGAGGTTTAGCGGGGAAGAAGCTCTTAGGCATGAATGTCATGACATGAGGCCATAAGAAAGGATTTAACTGATAAGCCTTGCATGTATTAGCTCGTAAAAAGAAATATCTTAAATTTTATATAATTTACCCTCCTGTGATTTGGTATTTTATTACATAACTTTCTTATGGTTTCAAAAACTATAAGTAACACCATCATGGTTTGGATTAAAGTGTCAAAATAACGGAATTTGCAATTCATAACGGAGTCAACTAAAATGTCAAAAATATCCATATGCAAAGTTAAAAATTATTTATTAATCACAGGGGGATTATGCATATATATTGAAAATTATAAGGGGATTATATGGTAAAACACTAAAGTATAAGTGGTTTATATGGTAAAATATGAAATTATACGGGTTTAAATTGTCATGCATATTATATTTATATATTTTAGTCACTTAAGCCTTTTTAGTTTTTATACAAGAGTAATTTCGATATTTTCATAGGTTCCATTACGGATGATCATTTCCGTCACTTTAACACTTTAATCCAAACTATGTGAGCGTTTATATATAACTTTTAAAACTAGACGGGGGTTATGTGAAAGTTAGCTATACTACAGGGGGATAAAGTGTAATTTTCCCTTTATATATATATATCTCGATATATGTCGTAAAGAGCTAGCATTATTAACTTCCCAAGCTCCATATCTATCTATCAAGGTAAGAGGTTGTATTATTTTAATTCAAAAAAGAAAGAAAGAAAAAAGCAACGGATACAGTTGAAGTGAGAATTTGGGCCAACGGAATGTGGCCAATAAGACGCTACCTCGTGTGTTTCTTCCAGTCTTTTATGTGTTTTTTGGCAGCAAATTCATTGGTTAAATTTTAAAACGGAAACAGGAACTTTAGCCCAACATCAATTTTCATTCAGATGAAAAAGCTGTTGTCCTTTTCGAGCAGAACATGAGTACAACCCATCCATCATTGCCGAAAAGAGTACAACGAAATATATATATACATATATATATATATATGTATATAAAAGAGTACCTCCAATATGAGGACGAGAATCAATTGCGTTTCCCCTAAGAATTGTCAATGAAGTGATATAATATTTGAGAATTTTGAACATCAGATCACAAGACTGCAAAACAAATCAACAGGAAAGGCGCAAAAGGATCTACCTGGAAAAATCCCACCAAAAAGTACAAGTTCCTACCAATTTTGGTACGTCATTTGACCTTAGGGTATAAAACAATAATCTCATACTACTTTACAGCTAATTAATCATTATTGTTGTCGCTCCATCTTAATTGTTAATTTTTTTTTTGGGCGCATTACAACTACTATTGCTCAATCTTAATGTGCATTATTTGGTAACCGGAAGAGCAGAAGGGTCTTAAGTCAAGAAAAGTAGAGAATAATCAACGGAAAAGAGTTCTCTGCAATGCTCAAAAGCCACCGTCGAAAAGAGGATGTATTGGGGGGAAGATTTTGGACACTTGGGAACCTGAAAGCTGAAAGCTTTTTGATGGAAACGTAGCTTACGCAGTCAATCAGCATGCATGAGCAACTTCCGAGTAATTTTACTTTTCACTTCCTCTTTTCATGTAAATTTACAGAGACAGGCGCACAAGCTATCAATGTCATTGAGATTTGGTGGGGCGGGGCCGTGGCGGGGGTTTCTTCCTGCTTGATAGAGACAGCACCCGTTGGGAGGGTTTTTTTTCCTTCCTTGATAGAGACAATAAGCATTCCGCACCTACTTACGACTTGACTTGAAACAAATACTCCAGTTGGATTATTGGGTTTCATCCCCATCCATCTATGCTTTTCTTGTGTATCTTCTTATTTTTTATGGATAAAGGGGGTCCAAATTAAGCTTGACAATCAGTTTTGACACCTCTCTTTTAATCTTTACATGATGATGATGGTGGCATCTCCGTTCATCAATCTATTTGAAATTATGTGTGCACGCTGGATGCCCGACCGAATAACTGTGTATTTCTTGAAGAACAATTCCCATCTCCGGTTGAAACTTTGTGGTGGGTGATTATATGCCAGCATCTCCAGTAAGTTGTACACAATTTCCCAATCGTTTGGGACTGGTACACAAATTCCCAATGCTTTTGGAGAAATGGCAGGTTTCATGAATGGATAATCCACTTCTCCTCTTAAGATTATGATTATGAGCTCCATTTAGATTGCATCTTCGTGGTGCTTAATTTTAACATATCAAACTACGCTAGCTCTTGAACTCCAATCTTCTATCTTTAAATAGTTAACCAACAATGGATACATGTTTACATGCAGAAATATCAAAAATACTCCACAGAACGAAGAGAATACATAAAACATCTTTGTCAGTGCAAACTCTGTAGCTAGTTGCAGGCATTAAAATCCCATGCCAGGAAAAAGTCTGCTGTCACAGGGGAAGTATTTGCAGATGTTCAGTAAAGCGATGAGCCAAGCGCTGCCAGGTAGTCATGAAGAATTGTTGGCTGCGTCCCCACCACCCATTGTCTGATTCTCCTTGTTCTCTGTTACCATATCTTTTATGAACCCAATCTAGCAGTACAACTGCTGAAGTGATGAAATAGAATACAAACAGGAGAGGCCTGACCGAGTCAGGGAACAAGAATGATACAGTGGCTGCTATCGAAAGAGAGCCAGCCGAAAACATACAGAAGTGAACTATATCGCTGACTATCCTATTGTAGCGAACAGAAGGAAGCCCAAGTTGGATGCCATATGCAAAGCCGTATATCAGCAAACTCAAAATGGCAAGAGAAATGGTTTTGGTGTGCGAGTCAAATGGTGTTTTGTCCTTCCCTTGATACTTCACCTGGAGAAGGCCAAGGATGGCAAGAATTGTAAAAGCAAAAGCGGCGTGGGGGAAATAGGGAGCAGGGCTTTGGTCTGCTTGAAACAAGTTGGAAATGCGGAATCTTGTATTGATGTAGGCGGCATTCAATTGCTCACGGATCCTTGCTATCATGCGATGGAGTCGTAGGTTGTTTCTCGGGTTACTATCAGCCATTTGGAAATGTGAGCTCCGGCTGCAGGAGGAGAAGAATCTACCAGTTCTGAAAACCTCAGAAGAAAGAAAGAACAAAATGTTTGGAATATGAGGGGATTTGCAGGTCTGCAAAAGGCTATATCTAAGGGGATTTATTCAATCATGTGGGGCCATATCGAGGGAATTTGCAGATTCACCTTCCTTCCTTTGGAGTCGTTCTTGAGGACTTATATTTGGTAAGCTGTGTATTTTAAAGAGATTAGGTGGGGCCATTTGCAGTGTAATATAGTATATGCCTAACTAGCTTTAAGCCTTTAAGGAAGACTACCAGTTGATAAGGTGGACTGAAGCGGTCGTGGCATTCTAAAGATGCATTTTTAAGGTGGCTTAATCAATCGTGTGGGGGTTCATTTTCAATATAAGGTGTCAACAAATTTCTTGGAAGACTTCGCACATCTGGACAAATGTTCTCAACTGGATGACCCGCACTGTTGGACTGAAGATTCTTTGAGTGGTGCAAAAGATGCCTTAGGAATCCACTGTGAAAGTCTTGTGCATAAGCCACTTAGACCTCTGGATTCCCTTGGGATTTTTCTCAAAAGAGGCCTGCCAAACAGTGTTAAAAAGGTGCAGTTTGGGATCACCAACGAATGCCTAAGCGCTAAAAGACTCGAGATTTAAGGTCCAAAGGCATACTATGAAAGTTCGATCCTAGTTTCTAGGGGTGTGGGCAAATCAAGCCACTCATGAGTAGTTTACGATCGGCCTGATCAAAAGCTTGGCTCGAATTCGATTTGACTAAATTCGAATTCGAGCTATCCGTTTCGTGCTATGTCGAGTTCGAGCATCAGTAGTAACTATTCGAGTATTCGACGAGTTTAATCAAGTATTTATATTATTTATATAGTGTATATTTTAATTATAGAAGGACTATTATGGGTTTTTATTTTAATACATTTATATGAAATAATGT